TCGTGGTGAAAAGAGGCAAATAATGATATAAAAATGGCTTTAATTTGTTTCAGTTGAGTGGGATGAACAGTGATTTTGGGGGGAGCTGGAGCGAACCAGCTGGAAACCAGGGTGGGCTTGGGAGGGATTCAACTTGGGCAGGAGCTCGGGCTGCACCGGGGGGGTCTTACAATGTGAACCTTCGTGGATCCTTTTAAGGGAATTTGTTGAATTTGTACCGTCAATATTGTGGGGCAGAAGTAGGACTGAAATTTTGGATTGAAATGAGGGGGCTGAACTTGTGCACTGGGGCTTCTGGCATATCAAGCAGGTCCAGGCACTTGATAGTTTAGTTTCTGAAATAACAAGCATTCACCTGTAATGATCCCTCCCTCACTTTCGGGCTCAGATCCAGCTCAGAGCTTGGGCAAGGTCTGGCCTTTATCCTGTCCAACTTTGGAAACCCCCAGGATGCAGAAACACCACCCCCTTCTGGCTCATCCTGTGTTTGTTTCTTTCTCCTCCCAATTTAACCCTCTCACTGCTCTGGAAATGCTGTTATCTGAGCACTCCTTGAGCTTTCCTCCTGCAAATCCCCTCTGAGGGAATCGCTTTGTGCTTTTTTCACATCCATTTACCCACAAACCAACCTGCCCCTTTGCAGCTTTCAGAGCTCACCTTGCAATGAAATATTGCTGTTTTATCAGGTCATGTTCCTGATGAGCTTCAATTGGTCCATTTGGTGCTGATAATAACTTACACAAGACCCCAGAGGACCAAAAGCTGCTGCCCCTGTTGTTTCGGGGTGCAGGGAACCAGGTCGTGCTCGTGCAACAGTGGGCACGGGGAGGGGGGGGAACCAGCACGGGGATTCCTGTGAGCAAAACAAGCTCAACAGAGAAAACCCGAGCAGAACAGGTGCTGTGAACTGTCACAGGCTGCTTTCCACCCTGTGTGTTTTTGCAAAAGGGCCCCCAAAGCACAAACTCTGCTCCGAGCCCTTGGTGCCTCTTCTGAGCCCTGAAGGGGCTCCTGTCCCCTGCAAACACTTCAACTGCCTTTGACCTGTGAGGTCTCAATGACTTATTTATTTGATAGTTCAAGTGCCTTTAAACTTGTCTTTCTCTTTCCTTTCTGCTAAATTTGTTGTGGTTGTTTTTTTCCTCTTTAATCTTTCCCACCCTTATCTTTTCCCCTCCCTCTGTCCTTTTGTGCCACCTCCTCTCCCAGATGTGTGTTCAGCCCTCCCAGATGGTGCACCAAGATAACGCTGTGAGTCAGTGCCAGCCCCACAGGGGCTGTTGTGGCTGGCTGGGCTGTGGCCCAGGAGGTCCCAGCTCCCTGCAGGTCCCCTCAGCCTCTCCTCTCCTTCCACCCCGGGCTGCCGAGTGCATCCACCCCACAGAGCCCAGGGAACGTCAGCCCCGGGCCCTGAGGCTTCTCTGCAAGGATGGGGAAAGAAACCCAAAAGCCAAATTCTTCAAGCCATGAAGAAACACTGAACATCTGCAGTGATCCAGAGAAAGAGTCCAAATGTGGTAATGCTGGGAAAACC